AAAAGTCTGACCTATAATTTTCAAATAAATTAAGTTTTGTTACACTAAATATCTTAAATAATTAGAGGTAGACTAACAAACTGTTACCTGGTAAGGGTCCTCGAGGAACATGCCCTAATGAATAGAAATTCTGATTACTATTATTACCACTAGTAATAATTAATGACTATAACTTCATATTTGTATAGTGGTGTTTTTATACAAATCCCCTCTCCCTGCAAATGGATACTTCTAAAATGAGTATGCTTTGCTTTGCCATTTTCTTACCTACCTGAAACATTCTTACTGGCAATCCTGTCTGTGCTACCAATTTACTTAATAAGCTTTTTATCCTAACTAGTATAAAACTAAACTTCATCTTAGTACTTCTTCCAAATCATTAAAATCACAAAATAGGGAGACTGAGTTAATTGAGGCTGAATTAATGAACTTTGTACTGTAAATCTCCAAACATTAGACACAACCACACAAATTTAACATAAGAAAATCCCTAAACAAAATATAAATAATTTTGTGGATACCCACAACAGTTTTTTTCCTCTACTAATGAAAAATAATAAAAAAAAGTTGAATTTAAATGCCAGAGGGACCTGGTAATTTAAATCCCAGTAGATTTCATTTTCATAGACATATTATAGCATAATACCTCTAGAAACTTAGAAATTAAGACAGTTTTATTTTCCTAGGTCAACAAATTGGCAACAACAAATTAGACAAAGAAAAGCCAAACAGAAAGAGGGAAGCTCCCTCACCTTCTCCCAGGTCTCATTTATGCATATTTATGCTATCACTTAATAGAAGGTTCACACTATCATCATACTGGGCACTAAGCAGACATGGCCCCTACCTTCTAGAAGCCTAGACAAAAATAGATGACCAGCATAAAAAGCTCAATGAAGCAGACAATTACACATGAGAGAAAACAAAGTCCACACTAAGAGTTGATAAACGTGTTAAATTGGGATAGAATGTAAGCCTTAAGGAAAGTGGCGCTAGGGTGGAACACAATGGCTTAGGAAAGATGAGAAGGTGAAGGAAACACTGGAGCTTCAAATGCAATCTCCCCCTCTTAGACTACCTTGGATCTTTTAAAGGTCAGTACAAGGACAACCTCCATAAGGCTTTTCTTAATCACCCCAGCTGTTAGAGCCTTTCCTGTAAAAATCATCTTGCATCTATTTTGTTTATGCCATACATGTAGCCTCTTCCTAGCCAGACTATAAACTCCTCAAGGGCAAGATATGTTTCACTTTTGGCTTTAGATTCCTAGTGCCCGAATAGTAGGCACTTAACAAATGCTGATGAAAAAGAAAAAAGGATCTCATTGAGAACAGCAGGATGTTATGGTGAATTCAAAAGTTCCTATGGTCAAAAGATGTGGGTTCAAATTTGAGCTTTGCTTCTTGCTAATTATGTTAACCTGAGTTCAACTCCAGCCTCAGACACTTACCAGCTGTATGACTTTGGCCAAGTCATCTGTCTGCCTCAGTTTCCTCAACGGAAGTGGGGCTCAAAATAGCACCTACCTCCTTGGGTCGTTGTGAGTATTTGTATTGAGCACAGTGCCTGCCACATAGCAGGTGCTCAATAAATACTTGTTTCCATCTTTCCTTTTTTGCCCTAAACCTACCATCCTATAACCAGGGATTAGATACTTCTAAAACAGAGGTCAAGGTATAAATTGTAGGAAACTAAAATATTAATTCAGTACATTGAAGGACAGAGAAAGAGGAAGAAAAGAATAATAGCTATCTTCCTTTGAATGCAAGCCTAAAGGGAGAGGTGAGTAGGTTTTATGAATCCCTTCATTAAGTTCACTTTAGAAAAGAACTGTTGCTGGGCAGGGGGGATACCACCTACTAGGTCTGCTAGGTGAGATGGTTGACTTTAGGTGAAAGAGGCATTAAAATATAAAGAACAAGCAAATATCAGGAGGTAAAAATACTGGAATGGAGAACTACAGGACATACACAGGAGGTTTCCAAATTGTTTGAGAAAAAAGGAGTGCTCTGATATACTGAGATGGAAGCCAGGAAATTTACTGAGAAGAAAAGACCATTGAAGCAATGACATACTTTAGAGCCAATAAGAAAGAACTATTTTATTTGTACAGGGGAGAATGAACAAAAGCAGAAAATGGCAGAGTTATAGATAGATGCCCTTTTCCTAATAAACAGACCGAGCTCAGGGAGGCTAGTTATTAACCCCAGGAGAATCTGGAAGTCAGTAAGAGCTAAGGGATAATCTGAGATGAGACACTGCTGAAAAGAAGGTGCTAAGAACAAGGCACTTTTCACACTATCTGCAGACATTAGTGGCATGGCAGAAAAAGTCTGGATTGAGAGTTATCAGACTTGGCCTTACTCAGATGCCAGCCCCAAGTTTGAGTGTAGAACCTTTGGCAAGTGCGAGCTCTCACTTCTGCTCATCTATAAAACGAGGGCATTACACTGGATGATCACTAAAGTCCCTTCGAGCTCCAGACCTACAATCCTATGAATTACTGTACATACTGTGAATATGATATTTCTGTTCAATGACACACTAGTGAAGGAACTGCTTTTATATAAGGTTTTGTCTTACAGAGATTAATCTCTTACGGGAGCAACTTGGATTTCAAGCTTAATTCACAAATAAAATATTCTTCTATCTATGAAAAAGTAAACTCATATGCCAACAAATAAATCAAATCAGCATAAACAGAATACCAACCCATTACATAATATAAAGGGTTAACCTATCTAGATAACTCTTAATTTTCCTTTATCCTTTTCATTGAAGCTGTCCAGAGATGGATTAAGTAGTGGGTGATCAAGGCATATAAAAGAGTGAACTCCTAAAGGCCCAAAGTCAAGAGTGGGAGCCATCAGAAAGAATACACCTTAGATATAGCAGACGGATGGCAAGGGAGCAAAAAGAGGTAAGAGTCTGGAGCTGTCATGTCAGAGGATAAGGAACTTAATTTTTTTTAAGTGATTTGTTCTAAGAAAAATGATGTAGAGATCAGGAGACAAGAAAACTTCATTGTGCTGACTCAGTATGATGTCATGAAAAGCATATTTATAAAGGCAATAATCTGCATGCAAGGAGGACAGTAAAGAAACTGTTGCTATTCTGGGGTCCTCATCATACTATTAACTTATTAGCTATTAAGTGATTCAAGCAAGTCATTGAACATGGGCCTCTGCCAGAAATGTGGGCAGGGAAAACCAGACAGCCTCAGCCTATGTCACCTTGAAGTCACTCCTCAGGAACATCACCAACTAGCACTCCTGCAAAGGACTGACAAGCCACTTTCTTGTACTGTCTCCTAGTCACTGGGACAGGAACTATCTCTGGGAAAGACAGGGTTTATACAGATTGAGAAGCTTTATTCTGTCACGCTTATGAGGTAGGGAGAGACTGAAGATAGTCAGTTAGCTTCCTCTCCTTTTTCCTTGTGAACCGGAAGTTTGCTCACCAAATACAAACTGAATCCTAACAAACTAGCTGATAACACGTCTCTGATTTTCAAAAAGTTGCACAGTTTATTAAACATTTTTAATACAGGTTAACAAATGGCAGATTACAAGACTTTAGATGAATCAAAAGTAGCTTCTTGTCAGGAAAAATGCAGGGAACTCCTACGGTGCTTCATCTGAATTATACATAAGACCTATCTAGATAAAGGTACCAGGTGCTATGTTTACTGAGAAGAGAATGATATAAGTTAAGCTGTAAAAGGAAAAGTAACACTGAAAACATAGAGTCATACAAAGATGATGCTAATAACCTAGGGTCAAATGTACTGGCTTATCCCATAGGAGTAATAGTTTGTGCTAAACCATTCTTCTTCTTTCTCTTATTCAGCTCCCACCACTGAGGTGATTAGTTAGGAGTTAGGAGTCAGGAGTATTGATGACCACGGAATAGATTACAATCTTGGGGTCATTAGCATTATTCTCTAACAAAATAAGCTAAGCAACACTGACAACCAGACAACCAAGAAGTTTGGCAAGAGAAATTTTAAAACTTTTGTAGAACATATGAAACCTTTTCTCCATTTAACAGAATAGAATGACAAAGTTAAGGAGCTGATGAAGTAACAAAAAGTCAGTCTATAATGAGAACAGGTTTTTTTGACCTACACAATCTTAGAATTCCAGGCTGTAATTTTTTTCATAATACTATCATTACATGGAGTACCAAGATCCTGTCACTATATGTAATTTCCTTCAGGACTAAATGCCCTATAATGATTAGTAAATTTCCAAACTAAAAAAAATTTGATTTGCTTACAAATAAATAAATAAATAAAAGTAAACTCTAAAAAGCCATTAGTTAAATAAGCCATTAGGTTGGGAACAGAATAGTCGATAGAAGAACAAATGTCCAATAATGTGTTTTATCACTGTCTATTATTTGATAGTTGCTAGAAAAAAAAAGGTTGTTTTTACAAAAGTGGGGAGAGAGCTATATACACATGGGCTAAGATGTATGCCAGAGGCAAAGTCAAGAACTTCTACTCTTAGAAAATAAAATATTGAGACTCAACATGGATGAGACTACCTAGAACCCATATTACGCTATAATTTGCAGATGGCATATTTATGACATAAAGGTATATATGGTTGTCAGTGAAATCAGAAAAAAGTATCTAAAAATTAATTAATTCTGTGAAAAAAGAGAATTTCATGACAACAGAGAGTTTTGAAAACCCTGTTTCTAAGAAAAGGAATGCTTCGGTCAATCCATTCTACCTCATCCTTACCAGCTCTACATTAAAAACCCCAAATTCCAAGCAAGAGAAGTACTGTGTATGATAGGGTCCTAGAGTATGTTATCTAGCCACTGATAACCCAACTTCCAAAAGAAGATTGCCAAGCATGACTACATCTACCTAGAAATTTTGCTTTCATTCCAAATGAAATCAGTTAATTTAACAAATGATTAAGATTCAAATGAAAGCATAGAAAATGTCAGGCTATAAGATGAGGGGTACATAAAATAATGTCTCTTACCTTGCAGTTTCTTCAATACAGCGACTTCCATTTTTAGAACTTGTTTTGGTTGCTGAGCTGATTCTACCTTCAACGCAACATTTTCCCTGGTGAGCAAGTCCAAGGCGTCGTAAATTTCTCCAAAGCCCCCACCTCCTATTTTTCTCAACTGCATAGGGAATAAAAGCATAAAAGGAGGAAGGAGAAAGGGGAAAAAATGTTACTGGCAGACCACGTACATGAAAATCAAACTAAAATTTTTAGATTCTCCCTTGAATTTTGAAGACTGTACATATAGCTAATTGTATCATACTTTCACATGTAATGGAAGAATATAATGTTGTAAAAAGTAAAATGATATAAAAATTATGCATATTGAAAAAAGAAAATAAAATTACTATTGATACTATAAAAAGATCCACTTCATCCCCTCTTGTGTTTTACTTTAAGGAACTGTATGCCTTCAGATGCAGATACAGCTTTTGGCCTGCAGTTTGCATCAGAAATGACCCTGACAGTACAGTGCCATCTAGAAATATCATTTCCCTCAAATCCCATTCAAAAGATATATATATTACTGCTACAATCCACTACATATTTTTGTACTCAAACTATTCAGAGGAATCTCTGAACAAGACAAATTAATCTTTTATTAAGTTCTTCACAGTTCTTAATAATTTAACCAGCTCTAGCTATATCCATATTTCTCCAACTGAAAGGGTTAAGACTTATTGGGAATTGCAGGAAAATTCTGAGTGTGTATTAGAAAACTGAACCATAAACCTCTAAGTAGTTGCTAGTGGTGAAACATAGTAGGCTCCATAACTCAAGAGGTCAACCTTCTGTTGTATACTGAACATCAAGGCCTCCACTTGTCACTAGCCAAAGTTTTAGGAGTTGATACCAAGGAGAATAGAATATCAGAGTTCCAAAGGGAAGTAACCACACTTAAAGGGCAAGACATCAGTAACGAACCAGCAGTGGAAACAGGAACAGTCAAACAAAAAGAAAATCTGGAGATAGCAGTGTCATTGAAAAATATCAACGAGATAATATCTAGGAGGAGGGGTACTCAATAGTTACAGAAAGGCCAAAGAGGATGAGGACATAGAAAGGGCCAAGGACTTTAATAGTTAAGAGATCACTGGTAACCTCTGAGAGGAATTTCAACAGTAATAGTGTTAGAAGCCAGATCAAAAGAAATTGAGTAATGAGTTGGTGGTATATGAGGGATTTTTTTAATATTACATATCATATCAAATACTATAATATATAATATAATTATATTATTGTGTATTTATATATTAATAATAGTATAATTATTATAATATGACATATTATAAAGGGACGTTGTAGGAATATGATTGTGAAAGAGAAGACAATAAGGCAACAGTATGAGGGGATGGCAGGGTGAAGTGAAAGCTTCAGATTTTTAGGCATGTTTGTAGATAAGCTGAGAAGGTGCCATAGACTTCAAGAAATTAAGAGAGAGGAAATAACTCACCCATAGGCCAAGCTCCCAAGGAAGGAGGGGATTAAGAGTAGACTCTGCCCCTGGACTCTGAACAGGGCTGGGCAGTTTACCCAAAGCAGATCAGATTGTGGACTCAGCCCTGGGTCCAGGCTAGCAGTAAGGGGCTTCCCAGAAGGCCTGAGACCTCAGACTTAGTGGTAGGCTAACAACACAGCATTGCCCAGAGTAAAAAGAGGCAGTTTCAATGAAACCTGGGAAGAAGCATATAAAAAGATTCATAATGAAGTGAGTAAAGGAAAACAATTTATATAATATTTTAAAGAAACTTTGAAAGACTTAAGAAATATAAAGGGTGATATAAGAAATTTAGAGGAGTGTGGAAAAAATTACCTGTCAGGGGAAGACTTCATGACCAAACAAAAGATAGAGAAGTTCATGGGATGTAAAATGGATAATTTTGATTCTATAAAATTAAAGCTTTTGCATAAACAATATCAATGCAGCCAAAATTAGAAGAAAAGCAGGAAACTGGGGAGAAATTTTGCAGCAAGTTTCTCTGATACAGGTCTCATTTCCCAAACATATAGGGAACTCAGCCAAACTGATAAAAATAAGAACTATTCCCCAACTGATAAATGGTCAAAGGATAGGAAGAGACAGTTTTTAGAGAAAGAAATCAAAGCTATCAATAGTCATATAAAAAAGTAGAGAATTAATTAGATAAATGCAAATTAAAACAACTCTGAGGTACCACCTCCCACCCATCAAATCAGCTAAAGTGACAAAAAAAGAAAAGTGGGCCACTAATGCAATGTTGGTGGAGCTGTGAACTAATCTAACCTTTCTAGTTAAGAAACCTGAACTATTTCCAAAGGGCTAAAACTGTGCATACCTTTGATCTAGCAATACCACTAGTAGATCTATATCCCAAAGAGATCAAAGAAAGAGGAAAAAGACCCACATGCACAAAAATATTTTTATGGTGGTAAAGAACTAGAAATTGAGAGAATGCCTATCAATTGAGGAATGGCTGAAAAAAAAGTTATATGAATATAATGGAATATGATTGTGCTGTAAGAAATTATGAAGTACAGAGTTTCAGAAAAACCTAGCAAGACTTATATAAACTAATGCAAAATGATGTGAACTGCCTAAAAGAGAAGAGCAAAAGACAAAAGATTAGTTTTCTCTTCTCTATAGAAAGGTTGAAAACTATGGGTGTAAAATGCTGCATGCAAATGTCAGGTACATGCATTGTGCTGTTTTGCTTTGTTACAAGGGAGGGTGCTATAGAAATGGGCAATATATCAGTAAAAGACTGTAGTGTGAAAAACAAAAGACATAAATAATTTTGAGAGAGAAAGGGAGGAAGAGAGAGGGAGGAAGGAGGAAGGGAAGAAGAGAGTGATGACATAGAAGCTGGTAAAGAGTCACAAGGATCTAGATTGGGTGATATAAATATGTATGGAGTGACTCGCAAAGGAGGAAAGATTTCTGAGTGATAACAAAGAGAGGGTCTGAAAGTAACAGTCAGGTAGTGAGTTCTATGCCAGTTCCTCCTCTTGGCCTAGTGTGTCATGTAACATGAGAGAAGCAGCAGCCAGAACTAAAGGAGGCAGAAAGACAGGAGCTGCATGTCTGGAGAAAGCCAAGTTTTCATAAGCACCACAAGATGAAAACAGTGGAAAAGGAAAAGGTGAAAGATGGGAAGGTGTTTGTGAATGATAGAATGGGCGTTCCAAAGAGTATACTTTGGAGTGTAGATACTCCAAGTATATCTATATGTCATAGAGAAATCACAAATATTAAAAAATATTTTAGGATGGTTGGAAGAGGACAGGAACTGGGGAAGCGTAAGCCTGAGTTGGGTAGAGATGAGAGGATTAGAAGAGGTGGTGGGGGAAAAAGTTTTTCCCAGATGTGTAATGGAAAAAAATCAAAAACCATTCAGCAAGATATATACTGCCCTCTATTTTGCGTTTTGCCTACCCGAAAGAATCTAGCTTAAATTAAGCAGTCCCATGGAAACTTGGAGCAAGTCAATTCTACAAATTCTTAACTGTCAAAACACCACAGAAATTAACCTAAATCCAATTCAACAAACATTTGTGAAATATCAACTCTCTATCTGGCAAAACTGTCAGTTCAGGCCAGATGGAACATGTTAAAATGTCTTTCAGAGATGATCAATGGTCTAAGAAAACACAATCCCATCCTCTCATGTGGTCTTAGCCATGTGCACAGTTAATCAAAAGATCCCCTTATTAGGAGTAGGACCGACAGCTACGATGTTCCAGAGCACAGAAGAATTCCTAAGAGAGGTAATATGATGCAGTAGAAATTGTGCTAAGCTGAGAGCCAAATCCTCTCTGAGACACTTACTAGTTATGTGACCATATGCAAGTCATTTTTTAATTTCTCTGATCTCAGTTTCTTCATCTGTAAAGTAGAGATAGTAAGAGTACCACAGTGGCATACTGGGTAGATAATGGGCCTTGGGTTCAAGTCCTAAACATAATGGTTGTTTAACCCTATGTAGATCTTTTAACCTCTTAGTTTTCCCAGCATCACCCTAAGCCTAAGTTATAGAATGGTTTCCAGTCCACGTTAGTTAAGGGAATTTTCCTTATCCAGAGGTTCCCTAAGGGATAAGGACTGGACCTTCTAAACATGAGGTCAGCACCTTCTCTGCAATTTACAGTGTTAGAGACTTGCCTAGAGGACTGAGAAGTCAAGTGACTTACTGAAGATGACAGAGCCCAAGTATGTGTCAGAGGCAGGACTTATCCTGGCTCCATGGCCAGATCTCTACAAAGATGAAATCATGTACCTAGACCCTACCCCCAGCCCCAAATAGCACCTTTCTTACAGAGTTCTTGAAGCCATGGATCAAATAAGAATGTATGTAAAACACTTGGCAAACCTTAAAACACTATACAAAAGTTAGCTATTATTATCCCTCACGAGGAAGAGGTGTGCTTTCAGTGGGACAAATGTAACCCTGAAGAACTATGGTAAAAGACTTCATTTAATAAACTATACCAACAGCAAACCACAAAAGGTTCTACTTGATTCACTGTGCTATGTACTGGAGAGAATAACAGATTTCTAACACAAGGTCCCTGCCTTCATAAAATGCAGTCTAATAGGGGAATAAGACATGAAGTTAAGTATAATACAGAATATAAGACATTAGAACTTCTGCTTCCAGAAGCCAAGATGGCAGAGTAAGAGGTGAGTCTCCCTTACCCTCCCTTATTAACCCCTGAAAGCCCAGAAAATATCACCCCTGGAAAAACCCTAGGACAGCTGAACCAGAAGAAAGATGGGGTGCAGCAGTCAGAATCCTACAGCCTCCAACTGCCAACATAGGAGGCACCCGCACAAAAAGCCATCGACCAGACCCTAGGCTCCCAACACAAGAAGCTTGGGTCAATGCCCTCTGCTCCCCAGCAAGAGAGCCCAATCTCTTTAAAGGCCAGGAAATAAGCAGCAAAAAGAAATGTATGATAGATTCTTATTATGGGAAGAGTGAAGATCAAGGCAGAAATTCTAAAGAGGACAACACTGTCAACAAACCAACATCTGTAACATCAAAAGGGAATATAAACTGGTCTGAAGCCCAAAAAACCTTCTCAGAAGAGCTCAAGAAGGATTTTAAAAGTCAAATGAGAGAGGTAGAAGAAAAAACGGGA